TTTATCCACGGTTTTGTTTCATTCTAAAAGCTTCAAAACTGACGGAGATATCGCTCAAACGGCGAAACACCTTATAATTCATATATATTTATTTGCTAATTCTTACAAAAGGTAATGTGACTCAAGGGAAATATATTGGCGCCCGGAAGTCTGGCGGACCGAATACCATATGATAGAGTATTCCCCGGCGCGGGCGGACAGTTTTTGATCGCATCAGAAGAGGAGAAAATGCTAAAAAACCGGATCTTGTATATTTTCCCATGATTCATCAAAACTTTTTGATTTTAAGCCCAAATAAATCGGAACAAAGGAATGATTGATGATCTGGATCTCGGATCATAAGCATGAAGTGATTCAGAAGTCCGCAGATCAGTTAATTAATTGGGAAGGCTCTAGAACATTAGTAATGATGTGGCTTCACAAAAAGGGGTCAATTAGAGAACAGTCTAGAAAGTTCCTTTATAGCCGAGTCATTTCTAAAGATAACCGTTCGTAATTAAGGCGGTGTAGAGCATAGCTTCAGCGCTACAAGATCCCGCTGAGATCGGCCCAAAAGACAAAGAAATGAATTACTTATTGCTGAGTCATGTCCTAAGTCCATTATTAAGCTTACACAGCCCAACCCCCTATATCATTCTAGAACTATCTATAATACAAATGTAGCACATGTAACTAGTGCGAGGCGTGGGAGTAGAGAGGCCTCTGAAAAGCATAAAAGGCCACCGCTTCTGCCCCCTCTCAAACCTCAGGTAGAAATAAAAGTTTAATTCTCCTCACCAGTGGTTGGTTCGTTTGCTCCAAAAGATAAAAGCAAATATTAGTTGTTAGCTAATATAAAACTAACATGTCACTCTAAGCGTGAGTTAGGGTCAGTTAGACACAGCTGAACAAAAGTGTCATAGTGAGAATTAGTGAGAATTTGGTGGAGGGACTTCTTAATTGAATAATCTCTCAGCAATACTTGGTTATCACACCACAGGAGAAAAGTGAGCGATCCTGAACCTGCTAGATAACTAGCACGCACTCTAAGCGATAGAAAGAGCAGTTTGGTCACTCCTGTATTGAGTAACATTTATTGTGGAATTATTTTATTAGCAGTTTTCCTTCAGTAAATTATCAGGAAAATCACATCCTACTGAAAAGTGGTAAATATAGGTGTAATATTGACTAGAAATCATAGTAAAGTCAATATAGAATTTTATCCGTAGACGATCTATACATCAGGTGAGATTGTTGGGGGGTGTTTATTGTTGTTTAGACAGTGAACAATCATATATTTGGCAACCAAAACACGGTCAGTATGCAAATCAGCACAAACTCTAATATCGTTATTGGACGTAGGAAACTGGTTACATAAGGTGATCCAGCTCCGCTCCTTCAGCGCGCATGCGCGACTCTCAGTTGCAGGTGAAAGCGGGGGTGGGTGGTCTCGTCCGGGTTATCTTTGGCGTCTGCGGCTACATGGTTGGCCACGTTCAGGCAACCTTGTTCTCTATGCTCGTTGGCCAGTTCGTCAGTGCAGTTATAGCGATAGGGCAACGTTGTCCCTGCGCATGTTCAGCCGGGTGTCCAGGTAGCAGTGAGATAACTTGGGGAACCGGGTTGGTGGTCTCTAGCGGGTCATCATCCCTGCATCTGCGGTTACGAGGCTGGCAGCGGGTGGGTGACCCTGTTTCCAGAAGGCTGGTACGTTGGCAACAGTCAGGCGGCTTTGTCACTTTAGGGCGTCCAGCGAGGCATCCGGGTAGCAGTAGGATGACCCTCAACTCAGCCACACAGATTGGAACACAATCTGTGGGACAGTGTTGCAAGGGCCCAGGGAAGGGAATGGGAGTGTGGTTGTATCACAGGTAATGAATGTGTAATGGTCCGGGGGAAGTGATGACGTGGCACGGCTGCCACTCGAAAATCGCGGGTTTGGCCCATGCCCAGCTCCGACTCAGTCCGGGCTCTCACGGCCCATGCGGGACATCCTAGGTGGGCAGGGGCGAAGGTTGAAACCTTCTTCTGCTGTCAGGGGATGGATCCTGGGTCCCCATGACCCCTCTCTATGGCCCACAGGCTAACCTGTAACAGCAGCCCATCTCAGGGCATAACACTACTGTGGGTAAGAAAGTGTATAAGATAAAGGGCAAGTAAGATACACTTGCCTACTGTGGGTAAGAAAGTGAGAAGAAGGTTAACTTCTCACTTTCCCACAGTGGCCCGATATGGCGAAAACTTCCAGGGATACCCAGAAGTCACATGAGGTGGGATCCGGGGTCGGATCATGCGGCACGCTGTAGGCGGGATAATCGCCCACACGCAGAGCCGGCTCGGATACCCGCTTCCAACATTCAGAAACCACTTCCATTCACGCGACAACTCGATACGAATTTGGTATCCAAAAATAGTGCTAATTCGTATGATTCTGACGATACCAAGAACGTCCCAATCGGTGGAGATTTGACGGAGTTCTATGTTCGGCAAGTTAGGCATGGCAGGTCACGAGTATGTGCGGGCGTGGGAATCTCAAGCGGCAACCCAGGATTCCAGCCTCACTCGTTCCCACGGCGTCTAATAAATTGGTAAAAATGCTTATTGGCTGTGTGAGAGTTATCTCCGGCTACATTTCCAATTTAGGCTCTTAATTCCGCAAATCCATTGAGAAATCGCTTATTTTCATATATTTTCATATTTTGCCATCATTTCAGTTATTGATCAATATTCTTTTATTGATACTGTTACCCTTTTTATTATTTCGCCTAATAAGGTACCCAGGTGCCATATGGTACCAATATTCCCCATCTATTCTTTCTAAAAATAATTATTAGATATAATCCTGTACATACCGGGTTTTTGAAAAGAAGTTCTCCCCTCCCCCATTTTCTCTAAGGTGCTAGGATGCGCTAGAGTTGGAGTGAGTGTGTGGAATCCAACAGTAGGAATAAGGGCAACTGTCTAGCCCACAACGAGTGGGTAGTAGATTAGTTGAGCCCGGACCTTGCGGAATCCCAGAGAACCCACCACGGGGTTTTAGGATCGGGCATAGCGAAGTCAAGAGAGAAAGTAGAGGTTTGGAGAGTTTGGCCCCACGAGCTTAGTCGGCATAGAGAGCCGCTAGCCCTCTTGCAACACGGAGCATGCGGCGCAGGAAGTGCGCAGGAAGTGGAGCGGGTCCGGACGCGCGTCCGGGTCCGGGCTAAGTCAGGGTATGTGCCCTGACACAAAGGTGAGGTCGATTATGGATGAGTGTCTGTTGTTGTCTTCCCATGTTGGCACATACATAGGGTTCGTTGCAGAGTGTGTATGTGCTGCCCTTGAGCCACTCCAGTGTGTCTAAGGTTCTGGGGCAGGGCATGTCGACATGGTCATCCCAGTCTGGGTGTCGGATATTCCAGTCACCTGTGAGGATGGTTGGAATGTCCGCATCCATTGTGGATTCTGCCAGTCTTTCCACCGTGTATTCTTTCCTCTGGTTCATGTCAAGCGATTTTTGGTTGTAAATGTTAATGAGTCTCACTGGTTGTTGTGTTGACCCGTTTCTTTTAACATCTAGAATCATGTAATCGAGGTCTGACATGAGGTCATTCCTCAGTGTGAGTTCAATGTTTGCGTTCTGCTGGGAGTATGCCATGGCTCGGGCCTATCACCTTTGGCAATGGGTAATTTAGGGAGAATGGTTTGCCACCCCTTGAAGGCGACTGGGATGTGGGTGTTGTTTACTTTGTGCCACCAGGGCTCTTGGATGAGTAGGATGTCTATTTGGGGGTTCTTTCTTTTGGAAATGTTGTGCATCGCAGCCTGTGTGGCCACGTTAGAGCGGTTGATGTTTAGACTGCACACTGTCAGTGTTGCTGATGTTTTTGGTTGTCGATTCATTGAGTTGACCCTTCAGGTTGGCTCAGCAGTTCGATTTCCATCTGGTTGTCAGTTGGTTTGGGTTTTGGTTGGCTGATTTTGAAAGGTGGGATTGTGGCTAAGCCTCCCCTGGCTCTAGTGCTGACCATTTTGGCCACGGTTGCTTTTGGGCCACTGGGGAGTGATGTTGGCTTAGGATTTTGCTCAGGTCTTGGTCCGATAGACCATATTCTGGGGGTTCATCTGGCGAGGTTTGAGGTGTGTTTGGTTTTTGCTTACCTTTGCCTTTCATTTTTGTATATTTCTCGGTCAGGGTGTCAGTCAGGGCGGTGTGGGTTGTGAGTGTGTTCCTTGGTGTTGGGGGGAGTCCCGTGCGGCTTCTCCTAGCCTTGCAGTCTTTGTTCGTGCTCTCATGTTTTCCCTTGCAGTTTATGCACTGGAGTTCACTCTCTGCAGGGTGGGCTTCGGTTGCTGTTGTTGGAATTTGCACGTGGTCTTTTAGGGAAACCTAAAAGTTGGACATACTGGGAATCAAACTCCAGTCTTCTGGATCGCGAACTCAGTGTGCACAGCCATTACACCATACGCCCCGTTAGGCTGAGGTGGTTATTTCAACAGCTGTCAGGATCCGGACCCCAGCTGGGAGTGGCCAGAGGGCAAGGCTGGGTGTGGATGCTGGGGTGTTCTCCCCAGGTGCTAACTCCTCGAAGTCGCTGAGGGGACTGGCCTCAGCCTTCACAGGGAATGAGCTGAGAAGAAGGGTAAGCTTCTCAGCCCCCTGTGAGGCTGACACAAAAGGACCCTAGGAACTATACAGTTCCCGCTTGCTGCCGACTTTCCATAACAGGTGTGACCCGTGGGAAAGTTCTGGGTGAGCTGCTTGCCCAGAATGTTCCCACGGTTGTGGCTGTACATTTCTGGGTGAGTCGCTTGCCCAGAACGTTCCCACGGGTTCGCATGCGCGCATCATTATGTGAAACAGTGGGGGGAAGGATAAGGGGAATGGGGAAATGTGAAGAGGGGGTGGTTAGGGAAAGGGTGAGGGTGTCTGAGGGTGAGTGGGGTCAAGGGCTGTGCCCTGACAGTTGCATGGTCTTTTGCACCACATTTCAGGCAACAGGGTTGTTTGCAGACAGCTGTGTGGTGGGAGAGCATTCCACATTTGCTGCATGCATGAATCTGGATCCGGTCCTCATATGGGGTGATCGAGCATTTCGTGTTGAATAGGTAGACCGTTTTTAGGCTTAGCAGTGTGTCCCTATCTTTTTTATTAGACAGGTCAATGATGATGGACACGAAATTCTTAGTGCAAATGGTCTCATCTGTACCGAGCCATTTTGGCAGTCTCCAGTATCTGAGGCTTTTGTATTGTGGTACATAGGTGGCTAGTTCCTCGTGTACCATTCCAGGTGTAATCAGTTCATTGTTGCCGTATGTGGGGATTTTGTTGATTTTAATGCGGTAGTGCTCCAAGTCTGGTAGTACTGAGATGACTTCATTCTGAGTGATGGTGGCCGCTATTTTGTGACTGAAGGCAATGAGGTCTGATGCTTTGCAGGTGGGGGCGGTGGTGACCTTGATGTTGCCGGCGATGGAGTAGCCAATTGCCATCACTCTGAGGTAGTGTGGAATGTTCTTCTTTTCCAGCAGGTCATTGATCTTCTTTCATGCTTCGATGCCATTTGGGTGCTCTTCTGGTTTGGTTGGGGGGTGTACCTGGATGATGAGGCACCTCGGGTCCGTTGTTGCAGCGGGGCCTGTTGTGTCTGGTGCTGTGGTGTCCTGGTCTTTTGTTGGAGTTGAGCTGGTTTTGGGCAGTGGGGGGGACTTCGCTGCTACATTCGCCCAGGTGGCTCTGGGGGTTGCCATGGGGGTGGCTATGGTGACTGGGTCTCTGGGCGTGTGTCAGGGGACATAGCGTAAGCGGTTCTCTGTTACCCTATCGATATCGCGTAAGACTATATCACCGCATGTAGCTGCATCGGCCCTCATATATCGTAAATCCCTCACCTTCTCCTGATCCGACTCTGCCCCCTGATCCGAGTGTTCCTTCATCTCTATTCACTTCGTTTTCTATCGGATCATTGTTTAGTTCCTTTGATCCTATCTCTTCCGATTGATTGATGTCACTCATGTATATAGCTCTATGTGCCGCTGAGGGTTGGAACCTCAGCTTTGTCTACGACTAGGTTTTCGGGCGATATTCGACTCGGACTGACGAGCGATCCCTGACAGCGTGGAGGTGTCTTGCACGTTCTGTCCTGATTCTAGTGTATTGATTCTTTGTGTCAGTTCTGTGAGCTTGGCGCTTATCGCAGCGAGGTTATCAGGTTTGGACTCAGTGGCATTGGGGCTATTATTCTCAGTGTCTAGGTTTGCTACCTCTCATATCCAGTCTTTGTAATAGTGGAGGTGTTTCCAGAGGCCAACCAACCTGAGGAGTGCAAGTCTTTTGAGTGTGTCTTTCATCACTTCGGAGACATTATCGATGCAAGCGCAGTCTTGTTCCTTGAGTTCTTCTTTGTGCCAGCAGATTTCATCTTCCATTTCCATGTCCGTTTGGGTGATTCTGGGGTGTCAGGGTGTATCGAGGTCCGTCCATGCATCGTTGTCATGTTCTGGCCCTATGTTGGGCATTGGGTACATTGGCAGCAGGTTAGTTTCAGGTTTTCCTCCTGGGTCCGAGTTTTGGTGATCAGCCATGGTGGTGGTTGGGGTGGGTCTTATGGGTGGGGATTAGGGGGCTAGGGTGTGTGTGTGTGTGTTGTGTTTCTGTTCCAGACAATGTTGGCCCTCTCTTTTTGAGGTGGTGTGGGTGGAATGGGATAAAAGTCGTAGATCTCGTATAGATATACCCCCCCCCCCCATTTTTTTTAATCGATAGGAACTTTTTTGGTTTTCTAATCAGGTGTGTGCCCATCATGGTACTCAGCACCCCCCTCCAAGTTTTTTCAACAACAGCTGGGTGAAATTTAGACAATGAGTAGCTATTGCACCTATATAGGATCTATTTTTTTTAATTGATAGGACCTTTTTTTACTTTTAAATCAGGTTGTGCACTCGTCCCAGTCCCCAATGTAGGTTTGACTCGAACCTAATTTTTTTTCGTTTTTGAATTAGGTTGCATTTGTCACGATGTTTAATGTAGGATTGGTCCCCCCGACTTTTCTCAATAATGGCTGGGTGGAGCAGGATGAAATTTGGATGGTGAGTAGGTATCACCTTTATCTCAAACCCAATTTTTTTTCTGATTGATAGGAATCTTTTTGCTTTCTAATTTAGGTCACACCATGGTGCTCAACGTAGGTTTGATACCGTCACCTCCACTTTCTTGGCAGCAGTTGGGTGGAATAGGATGAAAGCCAGGTGGTAAGGAGTCCTAGTGTATACCTTTAACCTCTTTTCTTTTTCTAATCGATTTTTGGTTTTAAAATTAGGCTGTGCATTCATCATGGCACCTGCCAAATTCCAATGCTCACTTACCACAGTGTATAACAAAAACCGCTGGATTTCCTACATCCAGGTCCAAAGAAACTGGATGGTCTTGACATTGTGGTGATTTCATGCACATCAGCAAAAAATTGTTATGCTCCTGAGTGCTCCGGAGTATCGAGAGCACTGGGAGAATCAGGAGGAGATTGGCCAGTCCAGGAACAGCCCATTTCCTCTGGAGTTGGCTAGGTACTCCAGGGCACTCCCAGGAGGGCCTGGAGCATTGCTTTGTGCACAAACATATCCAGTAAATACAATTTAAATGCTTCAAAGTGTATAGGGGTGAGAAGCTTCTGGGAGCTCCTGGAGCATTTGAAAATGAAAAGGAAAAAAAAGGAGGGAAGATCCCCCATGAATGCCTCCTACCACAAGACTAACACAACAAGACACTGCTTAACATTTAGATCAAACACCATACTATATATCAAGGACACTGAGACTCACCAATACACAATCAAAATTTATGGCCTGATATATGATTAATCTGGCAACTTAATCACTTTTGGGCTGGCAGAATATGGGGGAGGGGGAAATGGGGGAGAATGATGGGGGGAAATGAGGGGGAAATGAGGGGGAGAATGAGGGGAGAATGAGGGGGAGAATGAGGGGGAGAATGAGGGGGGGAATGAGGGGGGGAATGAGGGGGGGAATGAGGGGGGGATATAGAGGGAAATGAGGAAAATTTGAAAAATAGGGACTTCTAAAAAGTTGAAAAAAATAATTAGGGAAAAAATCAAAAAAATTCAGGAACTGTAGTGCCTTTGAAGTGCTTTCAGGATATATAATTATTTGCAAAATCGAGGAAGAAATGATGGAGAAAAATGGAAAATACTTTCAGAGACCCGAGAAATAATGAGAACTGAATTGATGGGAAAGTCTGAAAATTGAATAGGGAAGTGAGGGGAAGCCTTGTAGCATTGTTATTTTCTGCTGTTCTAATTTTTCCTGATTGTTCTTGGTCTCACTCCCAGCTGCTACTGGATACTCCTGGATACTCCTGGAAGCTCCTGGGAGGGTCCAGGAGCAGCTGATGGAAAATACTTTTGGAGACCCAAGAACTGAATTGATGGGAAAGTCTGAAAATTGAATAGGAAAGTGAGGGGAAGCCTTGTAGCATTGTTATTTTCTGCTGTTCTGATTTTTCCCAATTCTTCTTGGTCTCATTCCCAGCTGCTCCTCAATACTCCTGAAAGCTCCTGGGAGGGTCCAGGAGCAGCTGGGAGTGAGACCAAGAACAATCAGGAAAAATCAGAACAGCAGAAAATAACAATGCTTACAAGGCTTCCCCTCACTTTCCTATTCAATTTTCAGACTTTCCCATCAATTCAGTTCTCATTATTTCTCGGGTCTCCAAAAGTATTTTCCATTTTTCTCCATCATTTCTTCCTCAATTTTGCAAATAATTATATGTCCTGAAAGCACCTTAAAGGCACTATAGTTCCTGAATTTTTTTTTGATTTTTCCCTAAATTTTTTTTTTCAACTTTTTAGAGACCAAAATTTTCCTCCCACTGCTCCTGGCACATTACATACTCCTCACCACTCCCAGCTGCTCCTGAACCCCCTCCCAGGAGAACACTATTGGCTCCAGGAGTGCCCAATCTGCTGTTTTGTCTCCCACATGCTCCAGCCACTCTTGATGCTCCGGAGCATAACAGACTTTTGCTGATGCAAGCAACTCTGTTAGGCAGCATTTCTGGTTGTGCAGTAGCCACAGCTGCTAACAATACACCCAACCCACTCAAGAGACATCTTTATATTCAGTGGTGATATTTGTGGAGGCAGATGCCACTGCTGGTGTCAAACCTACAATGTCATGTTTGGATTCACTTTCAACTTCGTTAGTTGACACTGCTCACAGGTATGCTAACTCGGGCTCAGCCTTACATGTCAAACCTGTATTTACCTTGCTTGCAAGGTCATTGCCAGGTCATAATTGCTGTGGGAAATTGTTGGAGGAACCGTGTGCTATGGGAGGCCGGACAAGTTTCCGTACAGCCACATTCCCACATCCGAGCGAGGAACTCGCCCGGACAGCCACATTCCCGCGGTAGCGTGACTACTTGGTCACAACACCTTTTTTCTTCTTATCTATTTTAGTCACTTCGGACTTATCCGCGAAGTCCACAAACTATATTCAATCTTTTGAATTAGTTTCCCTTTTCCTCAGTTCTCGCGCATATAGTGAGACTGAGGTTAGTTATCTTTCTTTCTTTCTTATATCTTATAACTCATTGTATATTACCTTATAGCTTTACTACTAGGTAATATAATAGTTCTCGCGCATATAGTGAGACTGAGCTTTACTACTAGAGCAAGCGGTTATTCCGTTAGAAATATGTAACTATTGCAAATTCCTATGAACACATCACATGGTTCCTCTGAATCAATTACTATTTGCAAACACGTCACATGGTGCTCCATCACATGGTCCTCATGTGTGTGCCATCGTTCCAGCAATGCAACGCTGTTCCCAATGTTCCTTTGTCTTCTTGTTCAACTCTTCAAACTGTGAGTCCGCCCACTTTAGAGCCTTACACACAGGCTGTGTGAAAAGGGTTTCATCGAAATCTCTCAATAAGCAGATGGTTTTTCTCCCTGAGCTACACAATAATGCAACATATGCACTGAATGGTGTCAGTGCTCCAGTAGGAGGAGTTGTGAGGTTGATTATTACATGCGCACGATAGTCCGTGGAACCATATGCTCCAGTTATAGGGAGTTGTTTCCGCTTCACACTTTTGGCTTTCCCTCCTCCAATCTTCAGTTGGTACTTAGGGAAAATTGGCACCACCCCATCGGGTATGTCCCCCATCTGGCTTGGATTGCCATATTCTAATAAGAATGCACGATGGTGGGTAAACCAGCAATACTCTAGGCCCCCAGTTGGATGTCATAGCTGTTGGAGGAACCGTGTGCTATGGGAGGCCGGATGAGTTTCCATACAGCTGTTAGAAGTTGCAGCCCAACGCCACTGGTGGTCAAGGGAGTCACCCGGGCCGGACATTCACACTTTGGGAAGGGGAGGGGCGCTTTGAGGCACAAACGGCGGCAACCTCTTGGACTCTTTGTTTTTGCGCTTTGCGCTTTTGTTTTCAACTTGTTGTTTACCATTTATGTTTCACCTCAGTGGCGTAAAGTCATTACAAGATGTATATAAGGACCGGACTTGCGCTAGCAGCTGATACCTCACTAATTGCGGTATCGCGCTGCGCAGGCAAGTCCGTCCATCACTACTCATGCCTAACTAATTGAGGTATCGCGCTGCGCAGTCATCACAGGTTATCAGCCCAGTTTTACTCCACCGCTTTAAAAAGTCGCCCGGCACCGTTGAACTATTGCTCAGAAAGGAGCTGTCTCGTTCTGAATCGCCGTTACCTGCTCGTTCTGGATCAGACCCGAAGAACGTACCATGACTCTGAAAGACTCGACCATCGATAAGGCTGTCCTTGCTATCGCTAAGCTGAAGGGACGCGACGATTGGAATAGGTGGTCTATCAACCTCCGATTTGCTATGGGACACACCTGGGGCTACCTAGATGGAAGCCTGATTGAACCATCTGATAAGACAATACCCAAACACGCGGAATGGGTTGAAGGAGAAAGGAATACTCGCCGAAGATTATGGCTATCTCTCAGCGATTCAGTCCAAGACAACGTTTTTCGCCACTCCGAAAGTCCTGCCGCAACACTATTCAGAGCCTTGAAAGGTGCCTACCAGCAGACTGGTGCCTCCGCTGAATATTATGCGAGAACTAGGTACTGTGAGGCAAAAGTCAGCAACTACGAATCGATCTCGGACTTCTTATCTGGCCTTATGAACCTCGCTCACGAGGTAAACAAACTTGTCCCTGGCGATCGAGGACGGATCGAAGATCGAATGATTGCCATGCAACTCATCCATACCCTCCCATCTTGCATGAGTACCCTGCAGACCTTGCTCATCCAGAACGCCCCAGCAGCAACTGACGACATGAGCTGGGACCTCGACAAACTGAAGGGGGAGGTAGAGACCGAGGAACTCCGGGCCCGGGCAAAGGGGGAGAACCTTGGAACGAAAACTGAACTTGCACTCACGCCAAAGGCCCTTGCTGCAGAGAGCGATACAAAGGGAAGGAAGGGTGATCCATCCTGGCTAACGTGCAAAACATGTTGGAGTTGTGGAAAGACCGGCCATCTTCGCACAAAATGCACGGCAACAGAAGCCGAAAAGGAAACCTACCAGAAAAAGAGAGCCGCCGAAAAGGAAAGTGCAAACGCTACTGAGGACTCCGAGGAAAAGGCTCTATGTGCTGAACATATCATGGACACTGCACTGGTCA